AGCAAAAGGTCACATTTTCATCTAAGGTCAATGACCTCGTTTGATCTTTTGAGGGTTATGGTGACCAAAATCCTACAAGACCACTTTGAGTTTTGCATTTAGATAAGCGACGTAGATTACACTAGGCAGCATGTCCCTAAAAACAAAATTTTGACCTGGCTCATTCTAAGTCAGTGACCTATTCAGCACCAGAAACTATCCCATAGAGCAAGCCCTGGAGAAATAAAGCATGTTTATTTTTACCTCGGGCTGACCTACATAACTGACCTTAGGTCAATGCAATTTGTTCATTCAATTGTTGTGTTGCCTAAAAAAGCATCTCAGAGGTGTATGGCTTCGCCTAACACTCCGCTGTTGGATAAGATCGAACGATTCCCAAGAAACTACCTTCGCTGAAACCATGGCCTGACTTTGACCTGCCATAGGTTAGCGACCTTACAAGGTACACCTAAATTTATGATACCAAACTATTTGTTATTTCATTATCTACAGCTATGCAAAATTTGGCGCGGCTATGATGCGCCATTCGGAAACCATTCCGGAAAAAAGCTTCGGGGGGATCAAATTGACCCACATCCGAGCGCGTGCTAAACGACAAGCACGAGCATGTATGGGACATGAGTACGCTTGAGCATCGGCGTAGGAAGTGAATACGTCTACGTAGGGACGAGGGTACGCCTACGCAGGGGAAATGGGAATGAGCTCCAACTTTCCTAAACATTGAACATTGACCCACCATGGGCGTTGACTGCAAGGAAGTAACTAAAATGGCTTTTACCCCCCCCCCCCCGCTCTCGCCCACTCAGGAGGACATCTGGTTTCCCTGTGCTCATAAACATAAGGTATCATAGATACTTACCGTGTTCTGTAAATTTGGTGTCTCTGCCTGTAAATTTGGTGTCTCTAGCTTTCTTAGTTCTTGAGATATCAGGGGAGTCAAATTGACCCCACCCCCCTCCCCCACCTCCGCCCGAGCGGAGGGTATCTAGCCGGCCACCCGAGCGCGTGCTAAGATATAATTTGCCGCCCATCAAACAGTAACTGAGGTTTAAGGCTAGACCAACACAACTATCAAGTAGAGTTATACTTAACACAACCAGCCTAGGCGCATGTAGTTCCCATTCAGTTAAGGGGGGGGGGGGGAGACTGTGCCCCCTAACCAGGGATGTGGTTTCCTATATTCATTGATCACTTTTATCTGATATTTTTAATTACTCACCATTTTTAAGTTTCAGCTCTAAAAACCTAATTTTGAGTAAATATACCCCTGTCCCCAAATCTGAAAAGAAAGTGCGTTAAATCTGGGGAGAGAACTGTAAGTCCATGTTAGGGGCAGTCTCGGCTTCTTTTCTTCCTGTATCACATTCAGCAGTCCCTCACCCATACCTATTTTGTAACGTTGTATCCTTGAAGCGTTACATTTATCGATATCATGATTCTACAAGCACCTGAAGACAATCTTACTTGGCCTTGTGGCATCATCGCACAATCAGCTGGAAGCGTTGACAGCCTTCACTATCTTGTGCATGATCATTACCGGCGCAGAACTCCACTACCTATCATGAACCCAATGAACCAGTTGAAACCATGCAATTTTGGTACCAACACATGCAAACGACACTTTTGAACACCTCTGGCGTCCTCATTTAGCTCTATATACACCATCATAGCAATGAAGAGTGTTTAATCTCACGTCTGCCCACTGGTCAGTACGCTAAGTGCAAGGTGCGACGGACAGTGTGAGAGACCTGCCCTAGCGACGCCCGGCATCTTACCTCAAAGCTGCTGTTCCTCTTTGCAGCAGAAAGCCTCGGATGAATCATTGACATGCGTCGCTCCAACGTCTGCCGTTGAACTCCAAAGTTACAGTTCGGTTATCCACAAAAAAACTTTTAAATTGGCGCGACTTCTTAACGCTACTATCAGTGTAGATTAGCCCTTCATGGTGGATCATAAAAAACCGCGCCGCACCTTAAAAACGACGATTTTTTTGGCTACGTTTGGCTACGTTTTTTTCAAGCCAGTCAGCGTCTCACGACATGAACACAACCAATGCCACCCCGCTGCCTTGCACGGAAACCAATTCATTACCGCGTGGTGTGCTTTCGAGCCCATCTCTCTCAAATGGCGCGACGATTTGAAGCTCCGCAAACTAATCACATTCGTCACAAGATGCCGTGGCCAACCATGATTTCAACGACCAGTGCAAAGCTTAGTTATTTAATTTGTATGCTGTTTATTATGTGAAGTGAATCTTGGCTATGAAAAGTGTGAAAAGTACTGAAATCTGTGAAAAGCACATATCTGAGAGACGTTGAAAGGCATTGTGCTACCACTGATCTGTGACGCCAGCACTGTGCCACCACTGATCTGTGACGCCAGCACTGTGCCACCACTGGTCTGTGACGCCAGCACTGTGCCACCACTAGTCTGTGACGCCAGCACTGTGCCACCACTGAGCTGTGACACCAGCACTGATATTCTATGGTTTGTAGCACGTTTCCGCCATCTGCTAAAAACTATGCTAATCAAAGCTGCTATGTTCGGCAACATCGTGTGGTTTGACTTGCTCATGCAGCGAGACGTCAACTTTCTGACATGTGCGCTACACATGCTCACGCTGCAAGCATTAATGAATACATACCAATATTGAGCGTTCAGTTTCGTCTAGTTGGAGTGCTCTGCTGTAGAATGCTTTGGTCTGCCGTAATTTGCTGCCATTTTCGCAATTTTGTCACCAATTGGCTCACAAAACTTCCGCTTTCGTCACAGATCATAACCAATAAATCAGAAGCTTTTTTCACCTCTGGCTCCTTCCCCTCTATTGCGATTAAGCCCCGCGTATACGTCTTCACTTCTCAGACCATTGCATTTTAATGGTGTCTCGCATAGGCTTGCAAAGCAGATCATCGTGTTCATCATAGAATTATACGTAATCGGCTCGCTGGTGATATACACCTATAAGTACTCGGATCGCTGGTCACGTACACCTTTCGCCACCGGCTTTTTCATTTGTGCGAATATTTCGATGTTCCGGCTGGTCCTAAGCATGTCACTCGACGCCGAGCATCGCGCCGCGCATTAGTCTCGCCACCAGTGACGTCACGTTAGTATTAAGCAAAGATGAAGCGAGAGTCACCGGAAGGTTCTAACTCTCTCATACGGCCTTGGCGTCTGCTAATAGATGGCTTAAACACGAGGGCTTGAGGAGCTGCCGATTTCTGGGCAAGCTGTTCAGTGCAGCGGGGGTGTCATGATGCTTCCCCGCGTCCTTCCATCCGCCAAACTCTCGTGACGTCACCGGTCGGCGGCAGTTTCTCCGGGGAGCAGCTGTACTGGCGGCGATAAAAGTATCGGCGCGTGGCAGCGGTCTTCTATCCGATCATGGCCGGCCTGTCTTGTTTGTCGCTTGGACAATGAGAGTGCGTGTCCACGGTGTGTTACTCCACCGCCAGGCGCCCCGGAGTAATTGCCTGGGACAGACAAATCGCTTGATAGAGGAGGCTTTTATTTCAGATGTATGTTCACGGTACCACAGGACATCCTCGCACTCTGACTGGCAGGAATATGTGCTCGTGGGATGATCAAAACCGACCACGCGACGTTATAGTCGCCATTTAAAATGTGTCCAACATATTTGGCCCAAGACGCACCTTGCTCTTGTTCGACACGACCGAATGGCTCAACGGTATAACATTCTGAAAATGAATCCGATTTAAAACTGCAGATCGTGCACGAACCCGCGTTCACGAGACTGAAGAACTTGCAGCGACAACCCGCGCGGCGGAAGGCAGCGGGGTGGGAGCAGCGACAACCCGCGCGGCGGAAGGCAGCGGGGTGGGAGGGGCCCGAGGTGGTTAGGAGCTCACGTTTAAATGCATTTCTCCTCACTGACCAAAAGAAGACAGGGCGTTTAATGACACTAATCTCCAGGTACTGTGAGATAGCTAACCGACTCCGCTTTCCGCTCAGCTCTAGCACGGCTAATTTTTTATACTGGATTTGTTTGGCCTAGAATGTATTCTCACCAGCCAACTTGGTGTTGTTCTTATCTTCAGTTTTGCTTCTGTTTGCCTCATCGTCAGTGGGGGAATCTCTTCTGAAGTGTAACATTGACATTCATGTCGTAAATTTGTCAAATTGGATCGCACAATTTGATGTTACAAGATCACAGAACGAAATAGTATGTAGGAGATGATTCACTGGCTCAGTCCAGATATAACGACTTAGACACGTCTAACATTATGACTGAGATCATTGCCACACGGTGCTTTGACGGCGGGCCATCGAAGGTAATGCAGCTTTCACTCAGATTAGAACGATATCGAACGAGCTAATGCGCTAGGACTCCATGAAAACCACAACGCACATCTGCTCTACTCAGAACATCAGACGAATGTATTCTCTGTGTCGACTGTGCACACGGGCTAGTTTTTATCAAGATAGGAGCCAGGAAAGTGTTTAGCCCAGGTCGTGTTACTGTGGACCGTAACTTTACATGGTAAAACTTAATTCTCAACATCGTTCTCGCGGCGAGTGTGTTCTGCTTCCTATAACCACTCCCAGGCTAGCCAGGGTCATTACGGGCAGCTGGCTTTGTTAGACACGGGTGAGGTCATTGACACATATGTGTGTTAGTCAGTCAGTCAGGTTGATGAGCCTATATGCTTTATCGATCTGGTTTGACTTCCGCCCCCCCCCCCCCCCCTTCCAGCTCAACCAGTGACCTTTCTGCTATGGTCACCTGAGGAATGCAAAAACAAGCCTGTATCGGCAGCTCGGGCCGGCAGTGGGTCCGAGGCCCCTCTTCGGGCCACACCGCAGGTCCGCAACGGACCCGGTCGGCCCGTTGGAGGCGCCGCGGCCGGTCGGCCGGCCGTTTTTGCGTGGCCATCGCCGGCCATCCCGTGAGAGTCTGGCGAGGTCGCGCCGGCGCCGCTGAGCGCGGTCTATTGTCGGACCGGTTCGCCGCCCTCAGCCCCGACCGGTGCCGCTCTGCCGGCGCGCTCTGCGCTCTCCCCTCGGAGGGCCGGCCGCCGCGCCGCCGGCCCGGACCGCTGATCAGTGTCCGCACCATGGCCGCGGTGAGTGCGCAGACCAGGGCTCGCCGGGATGGATCTGCAGCCGGCGAGTGTGCTGCCGTGGCTCTGCGAGTGACGGCTGACAGGGTGGTGGTGACACGTGGCCTCAAGCTTGACCTCTGGTAGGACGGTCACTAACCCCAGCATTGGAACAAAGACGGTAGACGACCAAGCGACGTCCATAAATAACGCTGCACGTTTTTGCTCATTTCTCTATCCCCTCCATCTGGTTATGATTTGGTTACTTCCTCCTTCCCCTGGAAACGCTGCTAGAACAGCTTTTTTAAGATCGCTTCTAGACCTGCAACCCCGCTCGTACGTACCGTTATGCTGTCCAAAACTCCATCCCCTTGTTGCGCTACGGTTACCCTCAACCAATCATCTTCCTTCCTGAATGTGTAACGTAACGTGCCTCAGCTAACGTAGGATTTTTCAGCTGGCATTGGTAACCTAAATGTGCGTACTCTGCTTTTAAAGAATTTGCGATGCGATGCTGCTAAGATCTCAGGCTCTAAGAGAGCTAAGGACACTAGAGGCAGAGGTAATTACAAGCAGGGGTAGGGGTGACGTGGGGCTAAATGTGTATAAGGCTCCGTGTGATCTCACTTTTGTCAAAGTTTAAGGTCCCTAGATCGGGATCTTTTTAACAAATAAGGTCAAACAAGGTCAAACTACGGATAAGTGTCGGAGGTGCCCTCAGATCTGCTCACGCAACCAGCTGTAATCTAAATACGTGCTCCATATAGTACCTGTTATCAGCATTATGTTAATAGTGGTTTTATGATGTCAGTGCCCTTATGTCATTATTAGAAAATCGAAATGACCAGAAACCTTCGGGGTTATTTTGGTATTCAATTCTACAATTAGCGTAAAGTGCTACCCTAGGAGACATGCTCCTGAGAGCAAAAGGTAAATCGAGGTCCATTTAGACCAGTGACCTTCCCTCCCTTAATGACACTAAAATGGAAAACTTGTTGACGTCTTCGTGGTCCAGGAAGAACAAATGGGTGTCAAAAACTGCCGTAGAACTTCAAGCCGTCCAGAAATAACGCAGTTTGGTTTTGACCTCGATCTGACCTTCATTCCTGAACTGAGGTGATTGAAATTGGTCGCAACGTAAATTTCAATAACTGTATCGCAAAAAAACAACATCAAAGTCATATGATTTCGTCTGATACTACGTTGTCGCATCATGTTGAACGATTCACTAGGAATTGCTTTCAGCGACGGCCTTGATCTGTCTTTGACCTGTCATAGGTCAGTGACCTTACAAGATACATAAAACTTGCATACCGAGAGATGGACTATTCCATTGCTTATCGCTTTACAGAGTTTGGGAAGGCTGTGCCGCGCTGTTCGGAAGTTACTTTGGAAAAACCTTCCGAGCCCATTTACCCCAGCTGAGCGCGCGTTTTAAAAGGGAAACGCTGCAAAGAGAAGACCCGCAGCTCGTGGGCGACGTTGATTATATCTCACTCAGGCATCAGGTTATACCCGCTTCCCACATTAGGAATGACTGGTTACTTACCTAAGTTTGTTCCTACTTCACGCTTCAGGAGATATTTTAGGAGGCAATAATAGGCTGCATCTCGAAGCGCAGCCTTGTGTTCATGCCAGGATCATATCACCTCATACAGTAAAGTTCTGGTTCGGATAACCCGTGTATATGTCTGCTAATGAATGCGACTTTCTTTCTACCTCTTTTCTATTACCGGATATTTACGTATATATTACGCTTTAGAAAAGTATTTGCGTGCGTTACGAATTTGGGCCGCAGGGGTGCACTGGGTTTTCAGGATCTACAAATTGTGCCAACTCTGCAACGCACAGGTACTGAGTGGCAGGTGAAAACGCCTTTGGTTCGGTTAGACCAGTCTGGGTGGAACAATTTTGTGATCGATGATCTGGGTACCTGCGTTCTGCCATTTCTTAGTTTTCTAAAAATGTTGGTTTAAAGATGGTCATTAATCTATAAGTATAAATGTGTTTGTCTTGCAATACATCTGGTCACTGATATGAGTTAAGTATTTATGTTCCGAAAGCATCGAATCAACAAGACATAGCTATTTTACGAAGCTTGGCGTAAGAATACAAAATAGGTAGTCAGGAAAACGCCATGTTATCGCCAGCAGAAAACACATACACAAAAACTATTAATAGCAAATCGAGAATTATGATGAAACATGCTAACGCTTACCCGATATCTCCGCCTCACGATTTTCAGCATCAAAACTAAACACGGACAATTATATCCATGCTTGTTGCATTTAACGAAAGCAATCCTCTCCCTCATTTTGCATCACTCTGGTGCTTGCACCGCTGTCTGAAAACATCGGGCATAAGCTGTTCGCAACGTCACCTGAACCTAAGTCTGAGGCAAGCACATGTGCGATTTTTTGCTTTAAATCCGCATAACACACATTTTGCGGCATCTAACAAACACCCTCGTGTAAACGCCTTGAAAACTCCCATTCATGTTTATTTTTCCAGAGTGGTTTGCTTAGCCCTTAAAAGCAATGACTTGACAAAAATCGACAGGAAGCTGCCAAAGTCTTTCATGCAAGTTTCATTAAAGCACTGCCTCCGTTTTACCACAAGCCTCCAGTCGCGTGCGCCCCACTTATCCAACAAAAGCTCATTGTGTTCCAAACTATGCTGAGAACCATCGCCGTACCGGTTAGAGTCCAGACGGCATGTACCGGAGCTTGTCCAATACCATCGGTACTGTACAGTCCTGCCTGCCGCTGCCTTGGTTCCAGAGCATGTTACACTTTTATCAATACAGTGCAAAGCAGGTTGCCTTCTACTGTGCAGTTGCGTTGTTTCGCTGGGAGCTGCCGCAGACCATTTGTCGGTCGGTCAGCGCCAGTCGCCATCGCGAGCTTAAGTCACCGAGCCGGCGGCTCAGTCCGTCCCAGCTGTGCGGTGCGCGTACCGCACAGGTAACGGTCTGGAACCGCCCGTGGTCGGCAAATATCGGTCAGGGCCCGATCGGCTCTGCCCGATCCACCGGCGACCGGCGGCCCGCGTAGGATCGTGCCTGAGCCGCATGGAATCCTGTCCTGAGCAGCATGGGATCCTGACGACGGCTGACCCTCCTCCCTGCTCCGGCAGCTCGTGATTCTAATGGTGGCCGATCCTCATCCCTGCTCCGGCAGCGTATGATCCTGTCGGTAGCTGATCCCGCCTCTCCTACTCTGCCAGTGTGTGACGATGACTGTGACTGGCCCTCTTTCTCCTGTTCTGCCAGTGTGTGATAATGACAGTGGCTGACCCTCCCTCTCCCGTTCTGCCAGTGTGTGACGATGACTGTGGCTGGCCCTCTTTCTCCTGTTCTGCCAGTGTGTGATAATGACAGTGGCTGACCCTCCCTCTCCCGTTCTGCCAGTGTGTGACGATGACTGTGGCTGGCCCTCTTTCTCCTGTTCTGCCAGTGTGTGATAATGACAGTGGCTGACCCTCCCTCTCCCGTTCTGCCAGTGTGTGACGATGACTGTGGCTGGCCCTCTTTCTCCTGGTCTGCCAGTGTGTGATAATGACAGTGGCTGACCCTCCCTCTCCCGTTCTGTCAGTGTGTGATGATGACCGTGGCTGGCCCTCTTTCTCCTGTTCTGCCAGTGTGTGATGATGACAATGGCTGACCCTGCCTCTCCTGTTCTAGCAGTGTGTGATGGCGGCAGTGGCTGATCCTCCCTCTCCTGTTCTGAATACGACAGCATGTGATGATGACAGTGGCTTACACTGCCTCCCTGCTCTGACAGCATGTGATCCTGTGTGCGGCGCTGCTGGCCTCGGCGCTGGCCTCCCCGCTGCCGCAGGAGGACGTGGTCGAAGCCGTCCCGCTGGAGGCGGAGTTCGACGAGGCTCAGCTGGGCAGCGTCATCATCCGGCCGCCTCGCGTCGAGAAGGTCACGCACGTCACGTCCAATCACCAGTACCAGAAGCTCTATCCCAAGAACGGCAAATACAAGTGGGTCGGCGGGTGATCTTACTTTACTAGTTGTAGGTTCTTGCAAGCAGCGTTTTAAAGATGATTAGTACCGCTGACGACTGGACGTTTGCGCTGGAAGTGTTTGAATTTCAGCGGTATATGAATTTGGACGGATATGCGGACGCCGAACGTCGCACTGGATTATTTGAGACATTTCAATGTTTGCTGAACTAAGCATGCAGCCCATCAGATATTACTAAACAAAAATCGTGGGCATGATTAGATATTTATCTTACAACATGCTGAAGAACTTTTAGATAACGGGTCGGAGGAAAACTTCCTCGAACTGTGGCTCATCAAACTAGAAGTTAAAGCTGCTAAAATTAAATGTGAAATTGCTATCAATGCTAAAAAACCGTCAGGACCAAGTGGTCAGAATTCATTATACGAAAAGCTAATCGGACAGAATAATCGCAGCACGCGGATAATAGCGGTAAAATCGCCCTTCGCACGGTGTGTGCTCCGGCCTGTTACGTCATAGCGGCATCGAAGTCGATCTCACCATGATACTGGTACGCTCCTTGTGTGTCGACATACCAAATGGTCAGCGATTAAGATAACCCTGCAAAAGCCATAAACCGTAAGGATGGCGGAGCTGAAAAAACAACAAAGAAGCGAACAAACAAACAAACGGTACAAAAGTCGCCGGATTTTTTGGTAATGCAGGATTTGTTGACACGGGCCTGCTTCAATGTATTCGGCAAATGGTGTTTTGTGTACACAAAGGCCGCAGATGCTGTTACAGACTATGTCATTGGTTATGTTATTGTTGTCTGACACGTGATGTGAGACAAGATTTATCATGATCGGACAGAGGCATGGATATTTAGACAGAGATCACACCGGGTATCGATTACTTTGCTATGATTCCCATGGTATCTTACCATCGTTTCCACGCGGATGCTGCGTACATCTACAGCCGCCCTACACTGTGAAAACTATCCGCTTGAGGGAAGCAGAAAAATCCTGGAGCTGCTGTCCTTTTTGACGTTGCAATATATATGCTGAGCATGGCCGGCCTTTAGCATATTATAAAGCATTGGATGAACGACGAAAGCTTGCAATCAATGACGCTTCTCACGCTATCCTGCTGGACGGGGACTTAACTTTGTACCAAAACCGAAATGGACAACTAGGATAAGCCGCAACGAAACACATCTCAAATCTCAGGGGTATTAAAATGGCCAGCCAAGTTCACTACGAGAGTATTTATTCCGTCGCCATGGGCTTATTCGTCATTTCAGGTTTGCTGTGATTGGTCTTAATGATTTGGTCTCGTGGGACCCAGTTCGCGTGCAAAAAATGACGAATAGGTGCATGATGACGAGACGAAGGCCTCTGCAGCCATGTTTACCGGCTATGTCAATAAATGTGATGAAAAACGACAGGTTTCACTCCTTTTTCTTCCAATCACGGTGTGCTTCAGACCTGACACCAAGTTAGGCTCCTGTCCAATAATGTTCGCGTGAAATGAGCTGAAATGAGCGTGAAATGAAACAACGTCGCATTGGATTATTTGAGACATTTCAATGTTTGCTGAACTAAGCATGCAGCCCATCAGATATTGCTAAACAAAAATCGTGGGCATGATTAGATACTTATCTTGCAACATGCTGAAGAACTTTTAGATAACGGGTCGGAGGAAAACTTCCTCGAACTGTGGCTCATCAAACTAGAAGTTAAAGCTGCTAAAATTAAATGTGAAATTGCTATCAATGCTAAAAAACCGTCAGGAACAGGTGGTCAGAATTCATTATACGAAAAGCTAATCGGACAGAATAATCGCAGCACGCGGATAGTAGCGGTAAAATCGCCCTTCGCACGGTGTGTGCTCCGGCCTGTTACGTCATAGCGGCATCGAAGTCGATCTCACCATGATACTGGTACGCTCCTTGTGTGTCGACATACCAAATGGTCAGCGATTAAGATAACCCCTGCAAAAGCCATAAACCGTAAGGATGGCGGAGCTGAAAAAACAACAAAGAAGCGAACAAACAAACAAACGGTACAAAAGTCGCCGGATTTTTTGGTAATGCAGGATTTGTTGACACGGGCCTGCTTCAATGTATTCGGCAAATGGTGTTTTGTGTACACAAAGGCCGCAGATGCTGTTACAGACTATGTCATTGGTTATGTTATTGTTGTCTGACACGTGATGTGAGACAAGATTTATCATGATCGGACAGAGGCATGGATATTTAGACAGAGATCACACCGGGTATCGATTACTTTGCTATGATTCCCATGGTATCTTACCATCGTTTCCACGCGGATGCTGCGTACATCTACAGCCGCCCTACACTGTGAAAACTATCCGCTTGAGGGAAGCAGAAAAATCCTGGAGCTGCTGTCCTTTTTTCACGTTGTAATATATATGCTGAACATGGCCGGTCTTCGGCAAATTATAAAGCATTGGATAAACGACGAAAGCTTGCAATCAATGACGCTTTTCCCGCTATCCTGCTGGACGGGGACTTAACTTTGTACCAAAACCGAAATGGACAACTAGGATGAGCAGCAACGAAACCCATCTTAAACCTCAGGGGTATTAAAATGGCCAGCCAAGTTCACCACGAGAGTCCTTATTCCGTCGCCATGGGCTTATTCGTCATTTCACGCTTGCGGTGATTGGTCTTAATGATTTGGTCTCGTGGGACCGAGTCCGCGTGCATAAAATGACGAATAGGTGCATGATGACGAGACGAAGGCCTCTGCAGCCATGTTTACCGGCTATGTCAATAAATGTGATGAAAAACGACAGGTTTCACTCCTTTTTCTTCCAGTTACGGTGTGCTTCAGACCTGACACCAAATTAGGCTCCTGTCCAGTAGTGTTTGCGTGAAATGAGCTTAAAATATATGTTATGGAAATTCTCGGCGTTTCAAGGCAGTCCCCGTAGCGACGAATTAGCCATGTTCAGCCATGGCCGCTCGCATTCATAATCAATCCTAATGATCACTTGGTACCGTCATTTTACCGGCATCGTTAGGCACGCTAATTTTCAGCATGTCAGTATGGCGGAAGTATCCAGCCCGCTTTTCCGCTCCGCTCATCTCCACGCCCCGCCCCGTCGCGCCGGAAGTCCTCTGCGGCACTCGACCATGTGTTGGCCCCCACGATCGCAGCCTCGCTCCAGCATCTGCACAAAACCCGAGCGTGGGCCCCTGTGGAACATACGGCTCGGTGCAGAAGACTGCACGATGGACAAAGCATTGCTCCACCACTTATCGCTCTACTGAATTCTCTTCTTTTCAAATGACCATTGTTGGCCAAAAGAGCTCGGACTAAACCTAATCGGTGTGGGACACAGCAGCATACCATCGCCTTTCAAAGCGAGTGATCAATGTATTCCACAAAATTCGCTTAAATTACCGTCGGAGACGTTACAGAGCCTGCGTGCATGAGTCTCCCGTCACAAACAGGCCTCGGTGTCTTCGAAAGTCCGCTGAAAACCCGTGGAGGTACGATTAAGCCGATGCACCGTTTCTATTAAGCAATCTTACGGTCCACGGTATTGTCACGCGCCTTTCCTGGTCACGAGATCACTGGAAGGCTTTGCACGGCAGGTTTAACAGTGACTGGGCGTGGTTCTTCGATGACGGGGCTGGACGAAAGAGCAGCGACTCATCATTGTGAAAACAGCCCTCAGTTGAATGCATGGCCAAACCGGAAGGTCAAGGTTGCGGACTTTGGCGTTTAAGCCATCCACATATAGTTGTCGGAAATGTTCCTCTTTTCTTTAGGTTGTTTCAATTGCGCAAAGGGCACAAGTAGTGGTTTATTTCCGTTCAGGTCTTAAAGAGTGATATTCCTCCATGACACGATATGTTCCGAATGTGCAGCACCATTGACAATTCGTGGGTGTATGTGATGTGGCTATGCCATGGCAGCCTTGTCTTTACCTGGCGAATCTGGCAAGTTGTCTAAATTTCCGAATATTTGTATACGCCATAGGTCGTTCTCCAATGACGGCTTTTGCAGAGTACGTTCTCATGAGTGATAGTGTTCAGCAGGAAATAACGTGCGCAAAACATGGGCTCAGTCCAACACCGTGCTTGCCATGACTCAGCCCCGTCGAAGAACAGCAGACCAGTGAGTTCTTCGCTGGGGAGCCAGAGGTGATTGAAGAACTTCCCGGAGCTCGCCTTTGATATTTCAGGGCCCGGGTGCCCGATTAAGCTCTGCAAGATGGCCAGGTGATGCAAGGGAGCTTTGACCGCGGTGGAGCGCAAACCACCGCCGACGTGCAGAGTAACGATGATACAGACAAAGCGCCCGAACATAATTCACTGGGAAGTTCGGCAAGAAGGCGAGGTCACGCACGGGAGCTTTGACCGTAGTGGAGCGCAGAGCCATCCCCCGACGTGCAGACTAGCGGGCAACCAGACAAAGCGCTTGGGTACCCATAATTCGCTGTTCAGGTGCGACTGATCTCAGGGCAAGAATATCTTGATCCTGTAGATCTTGTATTTCATACATGTTGTAGGGTGTAGCATTTCGATGCAGAAACTCAATTTTCGCAGAGGCTGTTCATCTTGGGAATGATCTAAGCTCCAAGAACTCACGATGATCATCGCGTAGTCGTACTTCGGCCAGCTTCTCTCGGCTTAAGGCGACGAGTCGGTCTTTGCAAGAGTAAAATCTCTCCTGCCAACTCTCAAGTCACTGCCAGCTACGGATGTCTTCAGATCACGGCTTAATCTTGCTTCGATCAGTACGCTTCAGTGCATCTTGAAACGCTTGGACAAGGAGATCTGTAGTACTGAAGATGGGCTGAAGCATGTGGAGAAGGACGCTTCTGTCACCAGTTCGAACATCTGATAGCGACAACTGAAGCAAAACAGTTGTCGTTTAAACAGTTGTAGTTTGTTTGTAAACAGTTGTTTAAACAGTTTAAACAGTTGTAGTTTAACGAGGAGGAACCACGGCAAGGTACTAGGTCGTATAATTTTTTATAATGGACCATGAGCTTGGTCCTCAGAAAACAGCTCTTCAGCTCCAAAGAGACTTCTAGCGTTTGCGAAACGGACCCAGCATTGTTACGGGACTGTAAAGCGGCTGTTTGAAACACTCCTTTGAAACCGATTCTAAGAATGGCTGGCAGTTATCGACACCTTTCTCCTGTGATATTCGAGAGAAATCGTGCGTAGAACGATATTTAGACAACGCCCTCCAGAAACTGCAAAACATTCACAATTAGAAAATATCCCAGAATTTATCTCGGCGCCCGGTGTGGTTGGATTTCGGCCAACTTCTCTCGGCCTAAGGTGACGAGTTAATCCTTGCAGGAGTAAAACTTCTCTGTCCGAGTTTACAACAGGGCACGAGCGTGAAGGCATGAGGGCCAGCGACCCGCAGTGTGTGGTAGCCTGCATGCCCTACTACAATCTTTGGGTATTGGTATTTGAAATTTGATTTATGGCAGTCTGCAGTGCCCACTGCGCCTTTTGATTCTGAGCTACTGCCAGATGCACCTGAGTACAGATAAGCAAAGATGACCATATACTGTCGGCTGTCGAAATGCCTTTATCTATGGCTCGGTCACAACTGATGTTTTCTAACAGCTGGCTCAGCACACCAGATAGCGAAAAGTCATCAGGATGTGCAATACGACAGTGTTCCGCACTGGTAAATAGGACAGTGTTCGGCACTGGTAAATACGACGGTGTTCAGCACTGGTAAATACGACGGTGTTCGGCACTGGCAAATACAACAGTGCTCGGCACTGGTAAATCTATCCGGGAGTAAGTTGTGTCGCTTTTTTTCTATATTTTGGTGTCGGCGTCTCAGAGCCGGCCGGGCCAGCAATGACTCTTTGGATGCTGCAGGTTCGGCTTTGACGACGACAATCAGTTCCGGGTGGAGGAGCGACTCGGAAACGGCCATCTTCGGGGCATTTATGGATACAAGAACGAAGACGGGTCCATCACAGCCTTCATGTACGTACGCTAGCGCTAACTTTCACTCCTGGATGTGGCACAGTGTTGTGCCGCAAAACGCACTTGGTGTTTTGCATGGTATTGCGTGCATTTCACATCTGTGACACGTACTCCATCTCCAGTGCTTCTGTGTGCGGAGCTTTCTGGCGTGCGGTGAGATGTTGTTGCCTTCGAGAACGCAGAGTTGATAATGGTGTGGTAAATTTTGTCTCGAGAGGTAACCGTGCTATGCATTACTTGACCTGCTCCAAAACACAGAACTAAACTGATTCAGAACTGGATCACTTTTTTGTGTCACTTCACATAAGACGTTAAAGGGTTTGGGCCTTTTTAGATATATCAACAATTTTCTCAATTTCAAAAAGTACATCATCAATCCGAGCGCACGCAGGGAACGGGAAATAGTCACATTGGACCGTTTGCTTCGGCCAACATCACTATAGCGTCATCGCCTTCGATCCTTCCAAAACGAATTGTCACTGTCGCATGTCGGCATCCGTTGTTCAAGACAGACGTTTGCTTAGATGTTACGGCGTGAAGAAAGTACGGCTGGGAAGAAGGTCAAATCTCTTGCAGGAAGCTGGCGTCATAGTAGGGACGGAGGGGCTGAGCAGCTGCATCAGAAGCTGTCAAGCGCATGACCAGGGTTTTGTTTATGAGGAGGGACGATGTTGGCTATTGCCAAGCGCCGGAGTGATACAGTGATGCATTGATATTCAGGCTGGCTTCTAGGACAGGTACATCAAAGGTGGGCATCCGTTCAAAACAATTTCAGTGATGTGTCATGATTGGAGCGAATCGATGCGTCGCTATATAATACCTTGATGCAGCCTGCTAATCCAGGCAATTAAACTTGACCCGAAAACTGGTAAAGATCATATTTGACGATTTATGTGATGCTACTGCCTGAACATCTCGTCTTAGCGGCAATTGTTTGACACGGGTGTATGTTCTGTGCCCAGGTACACGTACGACGGCGAGCGGTACAAGCAGGTACCATACACGGTGGAGGACATTCCTGATGACCTACGGATCGCCCCCGAAGCTCAAGGACCGCCGCGATTCGTCCGGGGGAACCCGGAGATTATCGATGCGGAGTAGCCGGCGGTCGCCTACTGCAGCAGCGCCATCCTGTGCATATTTCCGGAGGCAAGATTAATCACAGCTGCAAATTTTTAGTGCTTTTTTAAATTGGACCAAATACACGAACCGATCGGCGGTAGTCAATGTGCGTTGCTTGGCAGTTGGTGAGAACAGGACAGTTGTTAACAACAAATGTTTTCACGAAGAAGTTGGTTTCGAAGAAACTACTTTGACCTAGCACTTCCATGAGCGCAGTTTGCGCACTTCCCAGAAGCAGAGGAGCACATTTCCCACCGACCCAAAAATAATATTATTCCCTTCGTAACCCCCTGGCGATATCGTCTGAGTAAAACGGCAAATTTTGTGTTGCCCGTGAATGGGGAAACGTCTAAGAAAACGCTTACAGATCGGGTAACGTATCACCACATGACAATATTTCCAACCGTGTTGGTTCAGCCAGGACACTTTGAGCCGCCGCGTGACCTGATTGGGACAGCCAGTCGCCGACCTCTTATTGGCGTTGGTAGTCCTGAGTGGTGGTGGTCTGGCAGTCATATCGAATTCATGAGAATCGGACATTGGGGAACACCATCGCCATTTAGTAGTCTTTTATATCTCAAGGTCTGCTAAAGGGTCTTGCGTTAGCAGATGAGTTCGAACTGAAAGCAAAAATCGAGTTGGATAGGTTTATGCAAATTTCCTCACTGAAGAATTCGTAATACCGGACCTTGGTGGCCGTCCACCATATGTTTCTCGACGGGAAAGAGACGCTAATATTATCATTTATGTCCTACGTTTAAAGGAATGACAAACCAGTTATCAATAAATTCTAGCAGACGCATTCAAAACAAGTGTGTTCGGAATGCACTGTGCAAACACGGGTAGCGGTAATACACTAGCTTTAGAAATAAGGTAAAACATTAGTGCGGTTGAGAACACATATTCTGATCCGATTTGCAAGTCACATTCATCTGTCTACAAAAATTATCCTGTTGCTTTAAAGAACTGTTTGATGTTGTGTGATAATTGTAAGTTGTTACCATCGCTGACGATTGTGAGTTGGAATAACACTTTAGCGAGCTTTGGCTTGAATGGGATTTTATCTACAGCGTCAGAAAAGTCATGATATAACCTAGCCTGAATCTGCCGTGGCTAGGTTATGGGCTTGGAAATATAATACTGACAATAATCGACCTCCATCATGCCAGAAAGCACTGGTTAGACAACCTTATCAAGCAGACATGGTTGCCTTTGCACTACTCGATGTTTCAAATTGTGCTCATAACCATAACTGAAAACTATTGAAGACAGATATTGCCCTTTTAACGTCGCTTATCGACAAAAGAAGTTCATGATGCAAAAACCTTGGGGCTCAGAGCATTCCTTATTCACAATTTGATTAAATCATTCGCCGGTAAGACCACGCAAGGTGTGCAAAATTGTGTTTCGCACGCATTACGATCTGAGCATTTGTCAAAATTTAGGCATTACCATGTCATAAAGCGGTTTAACTGGCTGGCATAGCAGAAGTTGGCAGTGCAATTCAGCCAAGTCGGCAATCCAAAGGAAACCACTCTTGGTCTGGTTCATTTATGTTCAACCTTCCAGATTGCCAGCGAACGTCGGAGGCTTCAGGTGTGACCAACCGTTTATGGCGTATGTACTATGTGGCTACATACGCGGCACGAATCCTCGGGTCTGCACTCCGTCGGACATGCTTACCGAGTTGGT